TTCCTGACCGTCGTCTCCGTCGGCCTCCTCCTGCTGGCCGTCATCCCGACCGCCGTCGCAGCCCACGTCGCATCGACGCCCGGCCTCGTTGCCGGCCTCGTCCTCATCTCACTCGGCGCCGGCTCGGGCATCACGACTACCCTCGTCGCCCTCCTGTCCAACGCCGCAACCGAGGACAATGCCGTCGTCGTCGCCTGCAGCTACCTCTTCCGCTCCCTCGGCAGCAGCATTGGCGTTAGCGTTAGTGCCGCCGTCCTGCAGCAGGTCCTTCGCGACGAGCTCGCCGCCCGCCTCGGCGCCGGCGCCGACGGCATCATCGAGCGCGTCCGCGAGAGCCTCGACTACATTCACGAGCTGCCGCCGGGGCTCGCCGCCGAGGTTCGCAATAGTTACCGCGTTGCCACCGTCGGCGCCATGGTGCCCACGACAGCCTTTCTCGTGCTGGCCTTTGCCGCGACCTTATTCATCAAGGAGAAGACGTTGGAAAAGTGACGGAGCACCGTCCTCCATCCAGGCATGGCCTATTCTGTCTCCCTTGCGCATTGTGCCGGTTTGCCAGTCTAAGGAATTTGCATGGTCCCAGAAGGTTCTCGTATGGAATAGTTCTCGTATGAGCGGGGTCTCCTCCACCTTCTTCGCTATCACGCTATCTGCTTAGGGAGTTCAAAAAAAACGAAGCGACGAAGAACATGTGTTCGGGAATGTTCCTTCGCTGGACGAACAATCTCAGGCTCTGTTGTGAATCCGACCCCGAATCCGCGTTGCACGTGCAAACAAGACAGGGGACGCAACCTGACCATGGCGGGCGTCCTTTGTTCTGTCTTTCCGCCATGACGTCTGATGGGCTCCGTCTCTTAACAGCCCTATATCCGAGTCATATCCCGCCCCCCCCCCTCAAATTTTGACATCATCCCGTCCCAGTCATAGCTCCTAAACCTTGCTCCATCCAATGACGTTCAAGTTTTGCCAGCTGAATTGTCATAGCCCATCCCCTCTGGAAAAAAAAGATATCATCGTAGGTCACGGTACGACGGAAGCAAATAGAATCACCTAGCACCACGGGCGTGGAGAATAGGGAGTTTGTAGGTAATCGCTCTTTATTCAAATGGCCACTATCTAATTTGCGCCGCTGATTCTACTGCGCCGTGCTGTATGTAGGGCCTTGTCCTCCAGCCCCGGGCGTCGTTCATGACTCGTGATGTGATGTGCTATGATTGTTGCTGTGGTTTTTCGGTTTTTCGTATTGTCCCGGACAGATGTCCAATATCGTCCGACCGCGGGAGTCCTCAATCTGGAAGAGAGTGCCAGGCGGAGGACCCGTGGGTATCCTGTGTTTTGCTTTTTGTGCGTGTGCTTACCACCCCCCGTCTCCTCCTGGGCCAAGGGTCCACCCTACAGGAAGCTTCTCCGCGGGAAGGCAACGCCCTCGACGGCGGCATTGTCGACGAACCAGCTGGCGCGATCGCCGGCGCCCTCGTTGACGAGGGTGCAAGGGCAGACCGCTGTTCTCGTCGAAGATTTGCTTCATAATCTTCTTCTTGCACCGCAGTGGCAACAAAAGCGACCTTGACGGCGTGGGTGACGACGGGCAGGGTCAGGGTGACGCGCTTCGGAGGGGGCTTCGGGGAGTCCTCGATGGGAGATACCCAGGCAGAGGTTTCGCGCAGGAGATCGTGACCGGGGAACAGCGAGCAGGTGTGGCCGTCGGGCCCGCAGCCGAGGAGCAGGAGGTCAAAGATGGGGAGGCGAACGCTGTCGCGCGAGGCGAAGCTCGTGACGAGGGTCTGCTCGTATTGATCGGCGAGCTCTTGGGTGTCATCGAGGTGCGTGACGTCGATGGGGTGCACCTTGGGCTGGCCCTGGTCGGTGGGGATCTTGTCGAGGAGCTCCGACTTGAGGAGGGCGTAGTTGGAATCTTCGTGGTCGAGGGGCACGGCGCGCTCGTCAGCGAAGAAGATCTCCCACTTGGAGAACTCGACGACATCGTCAGAGCCGCTGGATGGAGCGAGGAGGGCCTGCGCAAGGGTCTTGGGCAGAGAGCCGCCCGAGACAGCCACCTTGAAGACGTCATGACGATTGAGGCCAGCGTTTTGCGCCTGGATCACGTAGGACCGTAGAGCGGGTGCGAGGGCGCCGACATCGGGGAAGGCGTAGAGATTGGCTTGCTTGCCCATGATTTTTTGGGTTGGATGGTCGTTTACCGGTGATGGGTGTGTGGCGGGGTACGGATGGGTGACGGCCAACGGGAGTTGGACGGTGACGTGGGGTTACAGAAAAGGTCTGCCACCACGAAGAGAAACAGAGGTTCAGTGGTGAGTCGGTGAGGAGAGAGACCTGGGGAGCGGTTGTGCGACGGTAGCTGAGGCGCTGAGGTGACCAAAGGAAGAGTGACGGCGGAGAGAGGAAGAATTGGAGTGCAAGTGAGTATCAAACAGAGGAACGTCCTGAGGAAACAACAATTTAGGTGGGAAGTGACGATGGAAAACGGGTGGGGTGGTTGTGGTGGTGTGTGCAGGTGCAGGTGCAGGTGCAGGTGCACTCGGTGGTGGGTGCTCAAAGTCACTGGTAACAGCGGAGAGGGGTGGCCAATATGAGATGAGGTAGGAGTGACGACTGACGACTGACGGGCGCGGGCGCGGGATTTTGTGGCTCGTGCAAATCAAAATGGCTTGATACTGACAGCTATTCGTAGAGGGGGTTCCGAGGTGGGGTGGTTGGCGGTGTCTTGGACTTCCCTGGCGGGCGTGCTGGCCGTAAGGTACGCCGAAAGGTACGAAGTAAAGTGGTGAGAGCACAAGCAATCAATCAATCAATCAACACAGCACTTGCAGGTTTCTGCCCCTCCAAAAGGTACCGTACCTATCATGGGTGGTCCATTCGCGCCTGATGCCATCCGCCAACGTCTCCCGACCCCGCCCACTCTCTTCTTATGCTTGTGCCTGAGGGCCTCTTTTGTGTCCGTCACTTGCTGCTCCGGGTGGAAGCAGGTACAGGCTCCGTCCACAATACCTCGCCTCGCTTATCTCGCCGTCGGAAAGGCTAAAGGGCCAATGAACCGAAATCATAGGGACCTGTCCGTTGGATAAGATGCCCAATAGCGCCCACGGCGAAATGTTGCTTGATGACTGACCTGCCGTCTACCTGCCGCCATCCAACCGGCCTGCCCACTGTGCTGTATCAGCCCACTCCCCGAACCTGCCGAGTGAAGCACGACATGAGGGTCCAAGTCAACGATCAATGGGAACGTCAGAAGCGGGAGATGGGCACGCCACAGTCTTCACTATCACGCCCCTGTCGCTCCCAGCCCCCCTGGATGACAAGGGCCCATTGAGGTGCTGCAAAGTAGGCCTGAGACTTTGCGCGTCTTCGCCTTTCGGGCCTTGCATTTTTTGCGAGCGGGCCGAGATCGACTGCGATAAGGGGACGGGTTGAAGAGCGTCCCGAAAGCTTGCACGAGGTTCGAGGCCGCCGTGGTGCAGCTGGATCCATAGCTGCCTGATCCTCGCCATCTCACCCATCCAACAGCGAGCGTCGGGGGTGCCCTGCCAGCCCTGGCAGTAACGGCAGAGGGGGAGACGCTTTTCGATCCTGTGCATCTTCTCTGGGCTCAGGGCTTCCAGGGATTTTCTAATAAGCTGGTGGCTGCACGTGGGAAGCTCGAGGAATTGGCCGGCTGCCATTGCGGCTCGACGCTGGATATGGAAGTATGTGCTCCAGGGTCTCGATCCATTGTGCGGGTTGGCAAGTCAGAGATCGCCGAGGCTCAAGCCCCATGCGCGACGCCCGAAGAAGTTTCGCATAGTTCAACGGGCAGAAGGAGGTACTTGTGACGATGACGTCGTTGAGACCCCAGACGGCTCGTAGTGCGTACGTGCGTCTCTCTGTCATCTATCACCTCAGCACGGTTACGTACGTCTACAAGTATTAAGGTTGGGTAGGCCCAGCGATCAGGTCTCTACCGTCTGTGAGACATTAAGGCTGACTCGCAATGAACCCATTCTGGCCCTTCTGGTTGGACAATCCTGTCGAAGGGACTTGCAAAATAGACCTGCAAAAGGAAACACGTTGGGTCATTCCATTCCATCTTGGTGGGCGGGAGTGAAAGGCCAACCAGCTTTTACAGGCAGGCAGGGTCCTGTAGTCGTGTGGTGCAGGTGCAAGTGCAATAAGGAGGACACGGTAGGGAGCTGGCGGGGGTGGGTGGTACCGGGTCCCTACTGGCCTCTACGACTGCCTCCCTGCTGGCTCCTCCTGGCTCCTTCCAGCCCTGGAGCTACCTGAACGGACCAAGTGCCCTGGGCGTCGTTCAGGCGCGCTGGGGCATGGCAAACGACACAGGGCCAGGCCAGGGTGCTCTTGGCTTGGTCCTCTGGCACAAGGTGGGGTTGGCTGATGATGTCATAGGCTTGCATGCTCCGCAGCTGGCCATGGCACCCACCACTCACATCAGAGGAGCGGGTCAGAGAGGGGGCCGCTCCAGGGTTATCCGTCGAGAAAACCGATTCAGTAAAATCGGCTTTTTGCTGCGACCCTGAAAATTTGGATGTTGGTGGGGGGGGGGAGGGAGCAGGAAGGAGGCAAGCAAAAGCGAAGGGGTGGTGAGGGGTGATTGACGGTGCACTTGTCAACCAAGGGTCCACCCCACTTCTCGCTCTGTGTGGTTGTAGCCAGCCAGATCTTTCTGGCTGTCTGACTCCAGACGAGTCCACGAGTTCCACAACCAGGTACAAACATCGCGACCTGGTCTGACCTGATCCGGGCTTGACTTGAAGCCAGCTTCGTGACCATTTAGGTTGTTTCTTCTCCTCCTGTTCCTATCTCGTCTCCCCGTCTCACTCCCACCCCCCAATTGAAATCTTCTTCTCTCTGTCCGTCTTTCTTCCAACCAGCTTGGATCACTTCCACTTCCTTCTATCTTGCCCGTCCCCATCCCTACAAACTCATCATCACACTTGGCTCGAGAGAAAATGATAAATCTCTCCGTTTAGAACCCACCCTTTCTTCAATACCCACCTCTTGCGCCACATTAGCAACGACAAGACCCTGATCCTTCAAGGAACCCCGTTCGTCTAGCTTCACCGGCGTGACGTCGACTGCGCACACACCACCACAACTGTTTGTTGGACGCCCCTCTCCTAGAGGAAGCCAAGACACTGCATATATTGTCGCCCGACACCCCCGCGCTTCTTCTTTACGTCGGCGACGGGCGCACCACACGAAGCGGCAATCCCCAGACTCCGGCCAAACCGCCACACAGTCACACATGGGCCTCTCCGGCGAGCCTCTCTCACTACCGAATCAAGCTGTCTCCCTCCCACCAACAGCACCTGCCACCCCCTCCAACATGAGCATGTCGTCCGACAACTCAGTCAGAGCAACTCGGCGAGGCCCGAACTCTTGCTGCACCAGCGTCAGCAGCTCATCGAAGCACTTGC